CCCTTACATTGCATCTTTACATGACTGAAGTAGCTTTTTTGCTCAGGAAAAATGCCATCTCAGAGAAGTGTGGGGCGCAGTGGAGATGGGCACAGCACAAGCCGTTGCAGCGCAAGCTCTCCATCCCCCTGGCATGGAGGACTCCAGCCCAACACACAGCACATGGGGCTGCACATTTTTCCACCCCCTTTAACACTTCTGCTGAGATCCCCTGTGCCACCTGAGATCAGTCTTGATAACTCATCTAAGAGCACTGTAAGCAGCAGGCACCCAGGCTTCAATGAAACTGGTGACGTGCCACAGCACTGGCACTGTCGTGCAACTAAACCAGCGACACTGGCGACCTGACACAAGAGGGGACAGTCACTTCTGCTGTTCCTGTCCAGCACTTCTCTGACCCCTGATATCCCCTCCCCAACAGACCAAATGCTGTACAATTTATTCTGGTGACTAGCATTTATAAATCAGCCGAAGATGAGAGGTTTCCCCTCCAGAGGCAGAGGAGCGAGAGAAGAGAAAGGGATACTGACTATTGGTCCACTTACATCATTGGGAATAGTAAGTTCATGGGAACTGGTTGGAGTGGTGGCATCCAGTCCTATTCAAGGGACAGAGGGAAAACGTTACGCCAGTTGTTTGCAAGAAGGGCAAGACACAACAAATATTTTTGAGAAGGAAACATACAGAAAGGAAGAAAGAAAAAAAAGAGAGGAGCAAAGAAATATAGAGAACTGCTAGTGAAACAGAAAAGAAAGCAAGAGATGCAAAACTCAGAGGGCTGGACTAATTTATATGAGTCTTATCTTAATTAACCTTTAACCCACCAATGCAACAAATGTCACATGAGATTCCACAGGGTCATAAAAAGCTGCTAGAAAATGAAGGCTTTCCCCTAAAAATAGTCTCTGAAGTTTGTTCTAAACACATCAATTGAGAAATTAATGGATGGCTGAAATTTGACCTGTCTACCAGGAGTTTGAGAATACCGAAAATGAAAGTGGAAGTCAAACAAACAATTAGCAGAACAAAATACAAAGATATGAAAAAGAAAAATTAATAAATTAAGGATGAGGAAATCAACCTAGGAAAATTTCCAAATTATATGTGGGATTAGTTGCTGAAGAGATGTTGGGAAGGGTTATTTTTGGAGGGAAATGTACAAAATACTCTAAGCTGCATACATTTGTTTGTAAATTGGGTGGACAAAAGGAAAATGCTCAGGAAAAATGGAGTTACTGCTCTAACATATGGTAACATTACAGAAACGTACATCTCACAAATATAACCAGGAAAAGATTAAGGAGCAGCATGTTAATAACATGAATAGGGAAAATATAAAGCTAGGAAAAGCAATTTAGTATTACTTGTAGGTATTTTATCAGATACATCATGAAGAAACAAAAGTCTATTTTGGATGTCACATCTCTTTCTCTCCTTTTCTCTTTTTTTGGTGTTTATTATTATCTGTAAAGACATGCCAAAAATGCTCATTTTCAACTAGAAAAGATGGAAAAGAAATACTCTTACAAAAAAGTGAGTCACCTACATTTTACTTACTTTTACATTCAATAGAGTTGCATATGCTTATTTTACATTGAATATAAAACTATCAAGTTGCTCACAGAATTTGATGTATGTGATAAAATGTTATTTGCCATACGAAGCATGTACCAGTACACATGTATTTCTGTTCTGTGAAGTTTTTAGATGCCAAGCATGTATGTAGTGAAGTGCAGTAAAAATGATTTATTGCAGGGTTAAGTGACTTCTCACTCCTGAATCAAGAATTCAGTTTCAGCTTTAATAAGTATGGACCAAATTTGCAGCCCTGAATTTAACTAAATTTCTATTGCATTTTGTAGCTATATCGGCATATCTAGTAGGAGAGACACTTGTCCCAGCAGTGATGATTACAGATGCTCTTAAGACATTTGGTTCTACAAGGAATTTGAGTTTCAGCATGCCATATTTCTTTTAATCAGTATTTCTGTACCACAATTACATACTGTTTTTCTATGTTTGCTTCTTTCTGAACCATGTTACCAAACTGGAAATTTGACAAGGTGCACGCCCAAATACTTCACTTTGGACCAACTGGTACATACTGTATGGTCTGTAATAACTTTGCAAGGACTGAACAAAAGAAACCCAGGGCTTTGAGCCAATGGCACAAACGAAGCGGTTTTGATTAAATAAATGTGACAAACAAAGCATGTTTTAGTAGTGATGAAAGGAACTGTAACAGAGGTATGAGAGGGAAGAACAGAGATTAACGTATAAAAATAGAAGGATTGCTGGTCATTGACCACATTTATTATTAAAATGATGTAATGACCACGGGAAACAAAGCTGTTAAGAAGAAGGACATCCCCAGGGGGTCATGGGTACGTACCAGGGAAACCAGGGGTGGTCTGCCCAAGGGGAGTAAAGGGGGGATGCTGCATAGCCAACTGGTGAAGCTTGGTCAACTGCAGGGCAGGATGGGAAATTAGAACTAACCAATCAAATGGAATTATTTCAGAGCAGAGAAACCATCTTACATGTTCTAAAACTGGATTCATCAAAATTATATTTGGAAAATAAAAAAAAAAGGTTTAATCATTCATTCTAATCTACCATAGAGGAAAAAAAAAAGAACCAAACTGGTTATAAATGACATCTCTACTGTTATTACATGTAATGGCTATTGTTAATGTTAAATAATTACTGTAGAATTACATATTAAAAGAACTCAAATATATCACATGCAAAAAAAAGACCAAGATAATTGTCATTTGTTCCTGGGCCATTGTACTTTCTAGCAATTATTGCACGAGGTAAGAGATGCAGCTGAGCTAACACTTGGCTATACAGTGTGTCATTCAGGAAAGGTGTTCTTAGGCTGTGTCTTTATTGGTAAATGTAGAAAGCAAATGTTGCCCAGAACAAATAAGAGGGTGAGGAAGAAAGAGGGAGTAATTTACATGTGCTGGACTCACGTCTGGATGAGGGATGGCATACTGCCCCTGAATCGTGAATGCCTGAAAACAACAAGCACAGGTAAGACACAGGTCAGTCAGATGGGACAAGCAGCATTTCTGTTCTCATCAGAAAAGCTTCTCTTGGCTCCCCAGGCAAATGCCACCTGCATCGCTTTCAACACTGAGTGAAGCTTCATTGTCTTGTGCTGCTTGATAACGCTTGGCACTATACAGAAAGATCTCTGTCGAGCTGCCCACCCACCCCTTGCAATCAGGAGATGCCAAGTGCTGCTGCCTGAGCTCTGATGATCTTGGTCCTCAGGACCTCTCTGTAGTTCAGCTGTCTGCTAGAAGCAGAGCTGGGGACACTGTGGGGGTTGAGGAGCACAGAGGGGTGGCCGTGTCCCCTCCCTGCTGCCCCATGCACCCAGTGCCACCAATGCATGCAGGGAGATGCTGAGGCTGAAGCAGCAAGGGGGTCAGCAAGGATGCCATGCCCTGCCCTGCCATCCGCTCCTGCCTGCGACGTACAGGGACACAGGTCAGCTGGCTCTGAGCCACCTCACCTGGCTACTGACAGCCACAGATGCCAAGTGCCAGAAAACACGTGCGGCGGTGCACCCCACGGGGCTTGTGCCCCAGGTTGCCATGCCGGCAGGGACGCGAGCCACCCCACGGGGCTTGTGCCCCAGGTTGCCATGCCGGCAGGTACGCGAGCAGACGCGCTGGATGGCAGCCTGGCCGGCAGTGCCTGGGCACGGGGCCAGCACACCAGTTTGGAGACAGGAGCACAATGGAGACTGCCAGCACAGTGGTCTTATCTTCCACAAGAAGCCAAATATCCCCCGTCCTAACCCAGCCTCTCTGCACCACAAGAGCAGTGCAAGGGGTACAGTTTCTAGCATCACTTCTGGTAGCACTGGAGGAGGCAAAAAAAGCAATGAGGGATATGGTGGCATGCATGGCACCAGTTAGCACGGCCCCTCATCTCTCCTGTTTGCTCTGTTCAACTCTCTGTAATGGTCTACAAAAAAAAAACTACACAGAGTTTATAATTTTCTATTATATCCTGTAGGGCTGTTCTGAAAGAAATAGCATGACAGAAAAATGTTAATGTGCTTGTGCTTAGACAGGCAGGAAAGCAGAAGGACAAATTATAATGTATAAATATTTGTAGTGGGAGAATTATAAACAGGAACAGAGCTGATTAGCTTAGTTTGCAAAATGCTTATTTGACAAAAGGCCTCTTAGAAAGTAATGAATCCTCTGCAAACGATAAAACAATTCATTTAATGGAGATCAGATATTAAAACCTTTAATGCCTCAACTGCTTGATGCACATTTCTGCAGCAGAATTATCCTTCTGGAGAAGAAATATTTCATTTAGTTTTTAAATTAGTTATAAAGCAAGGCCACAATCTGGCAAACATTATGCACACGAGCAGTTTTCAGGCAGAAGTGTGTGTGGCTGGGCTCAAGGGGATACTCACGGGCAAATACACTCACGTGCGTCTACAGGGGATGGCCATTACTGATGGTTTTTAAATTACAATAAAAGGTTGCAGTCCACCAAAACAGGTGATCACTGCCATCAGTGGGTCTTAAGCAAGCACGTATTCAAGCAAGAAAAGCATGTGTTTAAGTGCTTTACCAAATGAAGACAACCTTAATGGGAGATGGGACACTGCTTTGCTGAGTGAGGGCTCTGTGCACAGCCCAGCACAGGAGCAGCCTCAGGGGGGTTACAGCTGGAAATGGCCAGGCCTGGTCCATGAGAAACCACGCTTTGCTCTTTGAGCCTTGGTGCTGGATCACAGGTGTCCTTTCTGATCTTGGCTTTACTTCAGACCCAGCTGAGAGAACATCTTTTACATGGGTACTTCCCAAGCAGTGGTCTGCAAGCCACTGCAAACCTCTGCGAAAAAATCAGCAGCAAACCTAACAGAAATCACCCCTTTCCTTGTCATTCTGCTCCCTCATACTTCCTTGTATACATAGGAGGAAGCAAATAAACTAGAGAAATAACAGAATTAATGAACATTCAGAGCTTAGCTTAGCTTTTATTTGTTTGTCAATGAAAACTATCACAGCAGCATGGACAAGATGAGTGCTGCATTTTCTTTCCCAGTAAAAAAAAAAAAAAGCTCTTCACTTCTTAAGCTCCCAAAAGGTGATTTGATTGATTTAGGTTGAGAAAACCTGTCTTTGACTGTTTTACCTTTTGTCAGAAGAACCGTGCCCTTCCATGGCTGAGGCATGCCAAGTACAAGCCTGGTAGATGCTTCTGAGACATCTGGACTGTAAAGTTTCACTAAGGACATGAGCTATGGGTCTGCATCCATCAAAGTCAAGGGCAACGTTCCTACTGATGTACTGACATTAGTAACAGCAAGAATGACCTGGTCTACAAATTTCCTCAATTTAAACCATAAAACTGCTATGGGACAGAAAGCAAAGCTGTGGGTATCCTGTGAGTACCCACCTAAGCACCAATGTAGCACAGTGGGTAGAAATTTCCCATTTGTTTCTATCAGGGAGGAGTGCTGGATTTATTGTTTTTTAACCTGCATATACTAAACATTGGTAAGGGGCAGAGCAGGGCAGGACAGTGTTCATCTTCCTTTTAGTTCTGCCATGCAATGTAGTATCGAAGAAGCACAAGAGAATTAAAAGCAACACTTAAAGCAGAAGAACCCCAACCCCCAACTTGTTAAGGAAAACTAGAAATTTGATCTTGTTAGTGTTGCTTGACATGCAAACATTAAACAAACCAAAACCTTTCAAGAAAGCCATGATGTATTAGAATGGAAAAATAACTTCTGATAGCATAGACAAAAGGTTGGGTGGAATTAACACTGCCGATACAATTTCATTTCAGTACTAATTTCCACCTATGAAACCTGGTTAAAGTGTCTTTCCATACTGACTCCCAAACACAATTTAAGCATTTAAGTTTGCTTAAAGTCAGAGACTAAATTCAAAGCACACAGAAAGTGTCTGCCTCTTACACTCTTAAAAAATTTCTCACATCAACAAGGTTGCATTAGAAAAGTGAGAACACTTTTTTTAACTGATAAAACTGAAGATGACAAGAGCTATTAAACCTTAAAACAGGACACTCAATTATTTATACAAACTGCTCAGAGCACTCTAGCAAAGTTTCAATATTTTTGAGGAATCACATACAGAGACAGTCTTTGAAAGCAGTGGCAATTACAATACTGGTTACCATGGGCTGCTGCATACATATACACACACATTTCTTAAAGGAAAACACTGCAGTGTAAACTTTATACATGGAGTAAATTATTCTGAACTTTCAGTCATAGACCAATTTGGGGCAAATTTCTGTTCAACTTTGGGCAGGAAGTAAGCAGATTTCTTATTCTGAAGACAGCTAAGAGTGATAGGCTTGAAAACCAGGAACTGAAAGCTACTACATCCAGATAATGAAAATTTGGATATACGTCACAACGTAACATCACAGCGTAGAAGGTACAACTCTGAGACAGAAATTCTGAGAAAGCTCATTACGAGGGTCTATGTGAAGCAAAGGTGCTTTGATATATGCTTGAGATATTCCTTACAAACTGGCAGATTGTGGTGGCGCGGGTTGCCATATCACCAACAATGCCAGTAGCACCTTGTGCCCTCTGCCCCACCAAGAGCCCCGTGTCTAGCCTCCCACATGGCCTCCAAATTGCCTACCGGGGTGAGACATGGTATGGCAGCAGCCCACATGCCACCCCACGACAGGGTGATGATCTGTGCTGGGCTAATGGGATGGGAGGTGGTACTTGCCTACAGATGTTCCACCATGCAGGTGAGTGGCTCTTCCCACTGGGTAACTGCTTCAAAAGGGGCCTTGCCGTCATCTTGGGGAAAAGGTTTGGCTGAGCGGGAGTGCCTTACTACCCCTTGAGTTGGGTAGGGCTTGCAGCATCTTACTCCACCTTTGCACATATCTAGGCAGTGCTGCTCTTAGCCTCTTGGCTAGATGGGTTCCCTTGTGAGCCTCCTATGGTGTTTTTAGGGTACATACCAGCTGCGTTCATTGTTTGCTCATCAGTTGCTAAAACTGTATTCCCCCTGCAACGGATGGATGATGGCAGAGCAAGTTCCTGCCATGTCTCAGTGGCATGTTGCAGAGCCATTTCAGAGCATTATCAAAAGACAAGGAAGAGTCACATTGCACATGAGGTTTTAAAGGCAGATGAGAATCCTGACTGATACAGTTTAAAATGAAGGGGGAATCGTCAAAACTTTACTATATGAAAAAGAAACAGGAACGTTGTGCTTGTGCTATCCATCAGGCTGTTGCATGTCATGGTTGGGAAGGTCTACACTTGCATGTATGCAGCTCCTGTAACCTCAAAACCCCACTGCTACTTGGTCCTGAGGGACTAAAAGCAGCAGAAATAATGTGTGTACAGGTTTTTACTGCAAAGTGCATTATTTGTTCCTAAAAAATGTAAAAACTAAGAGGAAAAAAAATGATGCTTTCCATGAGCAGAGACATCCTGCTGTTTGATCATCCCTGAGAAGTTGACAAAACTGCTTATACTGCTGGTGAAACTGCAACTTAAGAGTGAAAAAAACAACCCCTACAATATACAGTTTTATCCCACTCGGGGAACATCTGAGCTGAACACCTCCCAGTTCGCAGGAGGGCAAACTTTGCTTGATTACAGAATTTAATTTTAAATCTTGATAAAATACCAGTCATCACAATTTGTGTCAAGTTTGCAATGCAGTGTTCTCCTTTCCTGCAAACTCTAAGCACACAGAGTAGACAAAGCACATCAATACTATACCAGGCAAAAAAGAGTAAAAGTTGAAAACTAACAGGCGCTGGCTGAGGTTGGGCCAAGACGGTGTGGTTTCCAGCTGAAGCCAAAATGGTGTCTGCTCTTACCTGGCCACCTGCAAAAATGATAGGTGCAGAGGCAGGTTTGGGACGGTAGGGGATGGTGGCACCTTTGGGTGGGGACTGCAGACAAAAACACAAAGTGATCAAAATGCAGAACATAGCAGAGCTCATATTAAAAAATCACTCCTGGCCTTGGTCACCTCAAACAACAAGGCATGTAACTAACTCAACCCAACCCAGCCCACCACCCCATCAGCCCTATCAGGTTTTCGGGACTTTGGGCCAAAACAGGCAGTGCTGGCGCTTGTGGCTTTATTATGACCGTCATTGGACGAAGCTAAGAAGCATTAATTAAGCATTTCAAGGCATTTCAGGAAACACAGGCACCATTTTGAAATTTGTCCATGTTTTGGAAGGATCCAGCCTGTGCTCTCGCTTTGTTAACACAGAGCACATCTCCTGCTTATCGATCTTTCCTACACTGCTGCACATTGAGGTTTCTTGTTTTACCAATTCAATTAAGTCAACTGTTCAATTGCAAATGACCAGCCTGATCCTGCCTTTTGTCTGAGCTGGAAGGCTGGACAAAAATCCTTGCAGCTTCAGCAGGGGCATGGCCTTCGTAATGCATGGAAAGGGAGCTTGTGCCCTGCAGCCCAAGGCAAGGGCCCAAAGGGCAAACCCCTGACCAAGGCTAACGTTCTCCTTTTCAATACAGCAGAAGCACCTGTCTGTAAAAAAGGCTTCAAACTGCCTGTGCAACACCTGGCAGGATGGTGCCCCGGTTTCAGTGCATTAACTACAACTAAAGAAGGTAACAACAATATCACGTCTATTAATGAATATCATATAATTAGCTATTTCATGTCAGTTAAAGTGTTTGTTGAAAATTAAATATATGCTGCAAATTAGAGCACATTTTTTTTCTGAGTTCTTTAAAGGTTTGTAGAAGCAAACTGTAGTTAAGTCAGTGTGGTCTTTGTGCTGCTTGTGATTTGATTTACATTAAAGTTAAGTACATAAAATGATGTCAAAACTGGTTATTTAAAAAGTGTCTCTACCCACAGGAAAACAGGACTGTGTCTCTCTGATTTTGAGAGGTGGCATCTCTCATCTTTAGCAAGTAACTATTTATTCTACAAATGTCACTTGGACAATAGCCTACACTGTATTCACAGAGCTGACAACTATTGCCACCATATACTCTATCTCTAACAAATGAAAATTATTTTTTAAATATTTTCTTGCATTTTTATAAATATTGCATTTTTATAAATAAATTCCTCACGACAGTTAAAAAAAAATGAAATGAGTCACTTTTCCACAGTAAAAACCTGGGGATTTATTAATTTTTATGCTTTTATTTGTATTAAGCTGTAGGAAATTTTGATGCAAAGGTTGTGCATCATTTTGATGCACTGCATACTTCTGAAGAGCCAATAGCTGTAGTGTTGTCTCAAACACTCCCCTCTTTAACAGACAAGTAGGATGTCAGAGATCATAATGACACAGCCCTTGACTAGAATTAGGAAAAAAAACAAACCAAACCAAACACATAGAAAATTTTCCAGCAGAAAACATGACAAAAGTGGAGATCGTTCATGTTCCATGTCAAAAATTATGGTTCCTAGGTTAAAATATTTAATTTTGATTGTCTGAATATTTTTGGTTTTCAAACTTTTATTCAACTGGATCAGTTGAGAAGTGTACTTGCATGAAATTATGGGCGTTTTCAACAAAGGTTAATATGTCCAGATTTTTGTATAAATTAATATTGTATCATTTAATTTAAGAGCTAAAAAACCGCCACCAAAATGAAACATTCTGGCCTTATACAATGATTTGACCCTAAGGAAGCAAAAAGTCCTCGTAAATCTAAATTTCCCTAGTCAGAACTATTTCTATTTAAAACAAGACCTAGATGTTTTCTGCCCTATTCTGCATCAGAATAAAAGGCTTTTCTTTCAGAATGGGCTGCAGCTCCACGCTGGACCTTGTCTGTTGTTTAACAGCATCATGACAGCCCTGGTCTTTGATTGCTAAACCCAGCTGCAAGAGGCTCTCAAACACCAGGCAGGGCACAGTCTAACAGAGTCCTCTTGAATCTCTGGCACGGGAAGGGCAGGCAGCACCCCTGGGGAACCCAGGGCACTTGAAAATTAATGATGTGTTTGAGCACCTCCCGAGTGAGAGGTGATAGGCCAAGCACCCACTCACCTCCAGCATAACCACGCATATTTGTTTCACGCACTGGATGATGGCATCCGGAGTGCCCGATATAGTCACTGCGCGCTCCGTCGAGTTTGGCAACATGTCCCCGGCCACCTGCACCTGGGCTCCTGTGGACTTGAGCAGAGACAAAGCAAAGAGAGTGTCACCCTCGGGCAGGCAGCGGCGCCTCTCAAAACCCAGGGATCAGCGATGAGATGGAGGGGATGCCCTTCCAAACTTTTTGTCTTTTCTTCACTGGATACATGGTAGAGCGTGGATGTAAACTCATGCCCAGCCAGGGTAACTGAGGGCTGGCAGGACATGGATTCATCTGTTCATGCCAATCTGCAAACTCTCCCATCCTAGGAAGATTAGACCTCAGTAGCTGCTGTTAACAAATCAAACTATGACCTGAATTTTAGGGCGAGTCTCTTAACCTCCTCAAAGACAGACAGTTGCAATGCTGACTATAAAAAGAAAAAAGGTGAAATGAAGTACTTTTCAATAATAAAAAAAAAAAAAGGGAAAAAATGCTGACAACTGAAGAAGGTCTCCTAATCAAATGAGTTGCAGATAAATAGCTCTTTAATCCACTGATGGCTGACTTGTTCCTCTGGATGAAATTTGGAGCAGCCTTATTATGCTCTGGAATATTTCAGGATGGTACAGAAGCACTTCTAAATTATAATTAGTGTTGATTAAATATATGCACATCATCAACTTTCAGCTTATAAATGAGCCCAAGGAAGTAATGAGCCAGGTTGGGGTTTTTGTTTGTCTGTTTTTTTTTTTAAGTTGATCTTTTCACTAATGTATCTCAGTTAGCCAAAAAACCAAAAAAAACAAACCCCAAACCCCCCAAAAAACCCAAAGAAAGAAAAAAACAGATGAAGCCAAAACAATTCCTGGCACTACTTCACAAACATCCTGAAAGACCTTTCCAGTCAATAGAAAATAACACAAGTATTTAATACTGAGTTAGCATTTTCATGTATTACAAACAAAATCTCTTCCTCACTGTTATTGCAATGCTTTTAAAAGAAGTATTTTCAGTAAGCATTGACTTCGTGCCTGTTTTCCTGCTGCTTACATACAACACGTTATTCTTCTTTCCAGAGACTGATTAAATTACCGATTGCATCTTCTGTTCACTAGTGCTGTTTAAGGCCAGAATATAAATTCCTTGCTCTATAATAGGCTTTAGAATTTTGCCATAATTTGATAAATCACTCATGCTTTTCTTTCTTTTTTTTTTTTGTAATCTTATCTTGAAAATAGTACAGCAATCCTACATGTTGTTCCTGGGTACATGACTGAACACAAAAGACCATCCCTCACACAATTGCTGCTCAGTGTGTTGTGTGATGATGAAATTAGACGACATCTTGGGCTGGATGCTCCTTTTTTTTTCTTTTTTTTCTGTTTGATCATATTTGCTGTTTAACGTAAACAGTTTTGAGTATCTGCACATCTAGCACAAAATACTCTGCCAAATACTGCAGTCATTTATGCATTTGCTTCCAGTGCTAATCTTGTTTATTCTTTGACTTCAGTCATATGTCAGCAATGAAAAAATGAGTAATATTTTGTTCATTACCCTTCTGCTTCAGAAAATGTGCAGAGTGACCTCTCCCTACCTTAGCCTTATCAAAAGACCTATTTGGCCAAACACTATCCTCTTACTTCCTTGTGCTACATAAATAGCTAATTGCTTCTGAAACTATGCTCACCAGAATAATCTCTTACGTCATTTAATGTTCACAGGGCAGCAGACCAATCTCACCTTTAAAAGTCAATGTTCTAAAAGCACTCACTCAGTGCTCTGGATGAGGTTACCAATATTTAAAATAAAATCCAAAGTATCGACAGCTGTAAAACCCAGAGGTAAGTGCTCATCAGCACATGGTTCACGCTCATGCCTGCTCCTATTTTAATACAACAAAGAAATCGGCTGGGTTCTTGCTGCCTGATAGTTCTCCTGGATGCCTAAGAGATCTGCAGGACCAGGAGAAAACATGTCTCGTGGCTGAGGTCACCTCCGACCACATCTCCCACAGTAGCTATGCCTTCTCCAGTGCAGCCACTCGTCAGGCTTTCTGACTCACCCAGACACTAACTGCTGCAAACACCAACAGTCCAGTGGCTGTGCAGAATCTGAGCCAGAAATGTCCCATGCGTAAGGCAAACTGAACATCTTCCTTCCACCCAGGACATGCACTTCAACACACAAGAATCTTCTTCCATCTATACAAAGTTCTCTGACAGTTTTCTTGGGATTAAAGAAAAAAAGAGAGAGGGTTTCCTATGACCCTAACATCTGCACAGAAATAATGTTTTCTTCCCCTCAGTGTCATCAAGTGACTCCTTTCTGACACATCTCAAAAGCTGGTTTGACGATAAGGACTACTGAGAGGCATAGCTCCAGGACTCTTTAGTGAAAAATAAATTAACAGCATTAAAAAAACCCAATAATCTGATTTGCAATTGCATTTTATTTGCAGGTCTCAGTAAGCACAGGGACCCCCTTCAAATAGCAGGGCTCTGAATTATTTTTGTACAAGTTTACACGAACACAGTTGACAAAGCAAGAGGCATATGAAGGAACAACATGTTTGCTTGGCAACAAAAACTCTGAAACAGCTTTTGGCAGCTCTGTCAGCTAATGGAAGTGGTACATGCTGCTTTTATTTCCCTGTATGCAAAGAGGGAAAAGACCCTTTCAGGAGCAGCCAAATCCTGAACAGTGAAGATAAGCCTTCAGAGGGAACTTTGTTAAACTCCTGGGACAATCGAATTGGAATAAAAATGAAATAATTTGGAAGAACTTGAAAGTCAACAGGAGGAGACTCTTAACTGTCCTCTATCATCATCTTTCCTTCCAAGGCTACCATAAACTAACATTCCATAGCAAATGCTGGATATAAAATTCTGATCAAAGGAATTTCCACTCCTTTTTGACATTTGGTCAAATTTTCTTTGATAGACAAATATCCATTAACTTTTTTTCACATTTGAAATGAAATGTGATTGAAACCTACTGTCTTGAATCTACATTTTAGATAAAAAAAGGAAGCTTCACTTAGGTAAAGCCTGTCAAAAGCTTCTGTTTTGACCAAGTTAAATTAAAAAAATTGATCAGCATGTTATCCTGTTATTCAACACCTCATCCCATGTTGGAATGAATACAAATTTAGAAGGAGAACAGTAACTTTCTTCAGAACAAAAATCTATTTTCCTGAAATGTCCTATTCAGATTTTCTCTACATAACTGAGCACGTACCTGATTTTATTGTTTGACTGATTACAAACATTTGATCCTTGGCTTGGCATGTGCTATGTTGTTACAGTCATGCATGGAAGAATTAAAACTGGCAGTATATGATAATTTTTGCATTTTCTGTTTAAAAGAAGAACTGGCTCCTAGCACAGTACATTGAATGAGTATCTTTAGATAAAGTCTGGATTAAAAAAAGTCAATATGGGTTTAGAATACATGAAATCAGGTCACCTGTGGCACAGTGAGATTAGGGACAAACAGGAAAGGAGTATGGAAATAATTTTTTTCTAAAAAGTAGATCAAACATTTGATCTACTAACCTGGACTCCCCAGTGCTACTTGGGCCTTTCTCTGGCTGCGAGGGTGGTAGCTAATTCGGAAATGGCTGCAGCGCTCCACCTCAGGATCACCTGAGTACTGCTGGGGAGGGGACTGTGCCTGAAAAGCAACTGGACGAACCATTCCTGTCGCTAAACTGTTGCTTTGCCAAATTGTGCATCAGAGATTAATACATTGTAAAGCTGCTTCTTTATTTCACACACTATCTGTAGCTTCAAGGAAGGCAGAAGGGTACAACTGCGCCGGATCCCTGCTTCCACCAGAGCAAGGCTTTTCCAGGCTTTTCACTCAGCACACGCTCACGTTCGTGCGATGAGCAAAGTGTGGAGGCTGATGGTGACAGTGCACACGCTGCCGTAGGACGTCGAGATAGCCAGTGATCCCTTCAGACATCCCAAGACTTACCTCCCTGATTTCTTTGATTTTGGAACCTCCTTTTCCTATAAGGGATCCACACTGACTTGCTGGGACGACGAGCCGCAGTGTTACAGGTGGTTTGCTTGTCACCGTGCTGTTTGTCATTGAAGCGTTGATATCCTGTAATCACAACGTCAGTAAGAATTAGCGGGGGATTTGTCATTCCTGGTAAGCATTGAAGGGCTCAGAGCAAATGCCTGAGCTGTTCGTGGTGACTTGGAGAGCGTGCAACTGGTCATGGTTTGTTTCTGTTGCAGGTAAAGCTGTCAGCACGAACTGCACAAGCAGCTTGTGCCAGAGGAACCTTTTTCCTGTCTGGCATTGATGGTCCACACGGCAGGACCAGAGGCCAGTCTCTGAGGTAGGATTAGGAGGAGGAGGAGGAGGTGGTATCTGTCATTAGACCAGCCAAAGCAGATAGAAAAGACAAAGTTGAGTTCACAGGTCCCCAAATCCTGATTTGGTCTCTTTTCTGCCCTCTCGGTTAGAACACTTCTACTAAATGATACGTCTTTACATTTAACACAATTTCTTGTCAGGTTTGATACAAAGAAAAAAGGTTAAAAAAGGGAATGGCATAGAATCTGCGAATAATCTGAAGCAGAGAAAATCAGGTTGTTTTGAAAAATATTTTGCTGACCTCCAGGTTTAATTTCTCTTTTGTAGCAGATCCACAAGTATTTGTCCTGTTACATAATTTCTAAAATCTTTTTCATCACAGCTATGTATTCAGAGTACAAAGATCTCAGCAGAACAGCAATTACTTGTATCCAGATAATGTAACCTGTATCCATGTATCACATTATCCAACGAGACTACACTGCAGGTTTTCATGAGCACTTCAATATACTACTTGTCACAAGGTTTACAATGTTTAAAATATATTTTGCTAGTTCAGAATCTTCTAGGCAAGACAAAACAATCCCCCTAATGTCTTCATCACAGAGGAAAAGATAAAGCTTATCTTCCCACTGATGGATGGGATGCTGTTCAGAGCACTTAGGATCACAAAAAAAAGCCATAAGTTGTATAGCACCTGTCCAACAACTCATGAGAATCTTGATGTGGTTTGCTAACACTAGCTGTGAGCTGAAAAGACCATCTCATCCATCTGTGAGGTACATTCGTCACAGAAATGCTACCCAGAAGATGTGCACAGGAACGACAGAAAACATGCATCTTAATATTCATTTAAGTCATTAACGACGCAACAAGAGTTCCAGCAGACAGAACTGATGTGATTCCCTACATTCTTGCTTATCAAGACTACTCTGTCAAGACTGCCTTTTTGTTAAAAAAAAAAAAAGTGCCTATACTGTGTGATCAGGACCCCAAATAAAAACAAAACACAAAACAAAAAACAAATAGTATTTTAAAAAACTTTGCGTGCACTGTGGAACCAGTGTGGGAGCTCAGTGACACTAGCACTGATTCCTGCAGTACCTCTGCATTTGTGATGGCAGCATGCTTCCACCCAAGAAATGGCTCAGTGTGACCTTGCTTAGCATAAAAGAAAAGAAAAAAAATCTTGACTGGAATGAGGCATTGCTGCATGCCATCAGACAGCTATCAAACCATTTCTCTGCCAGCCAGTAACTCACATTTTGTTTAGTGGCTGTGTCAGTGAGAGACTGAAATCCAAAATAAAGCGAGAGGGATAACAGAATTTTGCAGCACCTATGTATCTGAAATAAAGTGCAAGTCATGCCAATTTTTCATCTGGAAGATGCCATCTCACTATATCACATTTGTGTCAGCTGGAGGCACACAATCATCCAGCTGCAGGTAAATATCCCTCTTCAGTCACCCAGCACAACCCTGATAACGTCCCCCACTTCCATATCATATCTGGCCTGGCCTCAAAGCCTTCACTGTGCTTATTTCCTTCAAAAGTACTTCACAAAAACTAGAAGCTGCTATTCTCTTTATTTTCTCCTCATCATTTAAAAAGAGCAAAACCTAAACACGCAGGCTCAGCAGCACATCCATAAAGGAGTCAGTCCAACAACACAACAAAAGAGAAATGACCAGGAAAAAATCCCCCCCTAGAACTGCAGGCTCCCAAGTAGAGTGGACTGAAAATATTCTCAAAGAACAGTCGTCTTTCAAACTGGGAGATTCCTATTTCTTGAACCTCTGACTTTCTGTGGCACTGCATCCATTTCCTCAGGGCTCTGTCAGACACCAGATCTGGACCTTGCATGGCTTTCTGCCCACTTGCCTGGGCTGCTTCTCAGCCACGACAGGCTAACTGGGAGCCTGGAAGTGGTGGGAGAGCCAGCATTCAGTGTTGAAGCTTCACAGTATTCCCAGCTCCTGGCACCCCAGAGTCCCAGGCTTCCAAGGCAAGCAAATCTGACAGCTCAGGAATCTACCAAACCTCTGTGGAAAAACATCTAAAAATTCTTCTTTACTGGTTTCTAAATGAAATGTTAAACCTGCCAACTTCCACAGTAAGCACAATAAGTCTGCGAGATTGCTCCTCACTTGGTAATGACCACCACAGGATTTACCTTAGTCATAGCATAAAGAGTCAGTGTTTGTCAAAAGACATAATCTCAATTGCTTTTATCAGCTTTCCTTTATCTCCTCCTTATTCCTAGAGCTGAGCAATTTCTTCATAAATGTTTGCAAAAGAACTAGGATTCCATCCAACTTTTTCTTATTTATCTGGAGAAGCTCTGACCACCACGCTCTGCCTGGTTGTTATTCCAGCACTTAACTACTATGTACTTCCAGTGGATTATTCATATTTATACCCAACACCAGAGCTGCTCCACTCACCAGCGACCTTACAGATGCATTTCTTGGGTCTCCAGCCTGGAAATTACTGCTCTCAAATGTCCTCTCTTGCAACTCCAGTGGTCTGTCTGGGTTAGTGCCTTTTTTTAACAACTCTTTTTCCTCTGCAGTGAATACCTTAATTGTTATGTAATTACCTACCTAGCTTGTAAATTCATCATCAAGTTGCTACAAAATCAACTTTTATTAGGAAGGCTGTCAAAGCAGAGTGCTACAAGGCTGCAGAGCAAACAGACCCATGGAACTGCAGGGTTGGAATTAAGGGTAACATGGCTTCATGTTGAAAGTAAAAAAAACAAACAAGAAAAAAACAAAAAAACCCAGCCATGCATCTTGCTGTGTCAGAAGATTTACAGAACCTAGTGATGACAGCTAGTACAAAGAAAAGCTGCAATTTATAAATTATTCTGAGTGTGTTGCTGGACTGAGGCTGTGGACGTGGTAAGAAGGATAGTGTGCAGACTGGACAGACCTCGCTGGTAATCACCCTGCTGGGTTTCGGTTATACTGATGAGGAAAGGATTCACATTTAGAATCACAGAATCACAGAATGTTGGG